GCAACAAACGCATGAGTATTCCTCATGTCCTATACTGCCATACAGACTTTATTGTGCTGGATTTATTGTGTTATCTGAATCCATACACCCATGTGATGAGGATTTTCTGCTCTCCTGGGGTTTGTTGGAATGACCTCACTGCTTTGACATCCCAATCACACTCTTCTAAAGGCCAAAGCAGCAGCAGGTTGAGTGACAACCTTTGATCAAATTATAATGATCTGACCCACCAGACAGAAGACGAGCAAATGATTCTGTCCATCAGTGGACGACGATGGCAGTTGTACATAGAGCAACAGTTACTTCCTACTTTTGGTCCTGGCAGTATTTTTCTCATGCTTTTTTTCCATAAGGATTAAAAAATATTTATTTAAAAGTTCTATAGACGTGAACTAAACTGACAAGTTCTGCTGAACTGCAACATTACAAACTTTGGAGAAAAAAGCATTTCAAAAAGTTTTTGAAAATCAGACAAAACTGCACACTTCATGTCTTTAATAAGGCAATGAACTACAAACATTTGAGGCACTGTGAATGATGTAATATAATTAAAAATGATGGAAAAATATAAAATGATTGACGTAAAGATGTTGATTAAAAGCATAGAAACAAAAATTCAATTTCAATGCAGTATGTAGTATACAGTACAGAATAAGTAGAATTGATTACATCCAGTAATTGTCTAAGAATAAAACTATTTAAAATAATTTTCAGTAAATAAAATACAGCTGGAGTAAAATAAAAATATAAATATTAGATGAAAAACTTAACTTAAAACTTACAAAAAAATTTGATAAATAATAAATAATTAGAAAATTGGAAATATTGCCCTGTCAACTAAATGAAATAAGTTTAAGTTCAAGTACTAAAATTACTAAAACTAATTTAACTAAAATAATGCTAAATAATAATAATGCACTCTATTCATGTAACAAAACACTATCCAACAGAGTTGGCTGGCAGTTAAAATGTGGATCCTCTAGACGGCGAGCAAAGAACAAAAGAAATGTTTAAATCAAATCCACCTGCATAAATTATTAGACTGGATACTAACAACTGAGCCATTTTAAATCCAGACAAGAATAATCCTCCAACTCCAGTGAGGCGCCAAAAAGTTGGCAGTTGCAAAAGTAAATCGTCTATGTTGGCATTTGTCAAGTGTTACCAATTACAAACTTTTTTCTTCTAAAGGGGAGATATGAAAAGCCAAGAGGAATTATTATTGAAGGCACAGGCTTTAAATTGGCCAACATACTATTCCCTAATGCTGTAAAGCCAAATGTTTCAGTTTCAGATCAACTCTGTCATCTCCTTAAAGGCTCAACGAAACCACGAGTCAAACTGTACAGTTTGGACTTTCTCAGTTTCTTGATTCGGCACATTTGGAAAGATCTTGTAGGAACCTGTCATATTGTCATATACTTTGAAGGGGAGATGCACTTTAATCAGTCAAATTGGCTGATTGACAGACTGACGGCTGAATGAGATGGACATACAGTACCTTTCGTTCGGGTCATGACAGGCACAAAATGTTTATAAATGTGTGTGGGTCAGACATCCTTGACTGCTGAGAAACACCTCAGGAATCTGGTATCAGCTTTCAGCCACATGCAGCCTTCTTGTACGGGGAGACGTGGGGCAACTTTATAGACTCCATCACACATGTAGGTCCCTCATGCCTGTGAAAAACACATCAGTTTAAAGGTGCTTTATATGAACAAGAGGGTTATACTGCAAGACATTTTTAAGCAAGATTCTACATTTTATAACAAAGCAGACCTTTGGTGGTGTTTATTTAAAGCTACTGTATTGTCAGATACTGTGACATAATTTGCTAGATTCTGAAATAAATTAATAAATAAATATAGCCTACACACACACTACTGATCAAAAGTTTTAAAGAAATGACTCCTATATATATATATATATATCAGGGCTCGCAAAATCGCTAGCTGGCGTCCCGGGGCTATTGTGTTTTCCAGTCGGGCTACCAAAATGTATCACTGCCCTGCCCGACGGGCTATCTTGAATAGTGATATAACATCCCTTCCTTGATTCGTGTTGTTCACTAGCTTGTATGGGTGAAACGGATTATGTTTATCATTTACATGTGTTTCTAAGTCTTACCAATTTAAACATTCAGTTGTTTTAAACCATTCATGCGCATGAAGAGTTCAGTTCGCACATACATAGGCGTTTCAGGCAGAGCAGGAACACATAATTGATTCCTCTTTCGCTTGAATGGACACATACATACACAATTATCTCAAAATAACTATCTCGGCAAGTATTTTCATGTAAATTAACGTAAAAAGTGGAGAAAGAAATCGCACGGGCATCATTATATTGGATCCGTGCATTCGGTCTTAAAGGGGCAGCAGCCTATAAATACCTGCTGTTTAAGCGCCACCTGCTGTCAGAGAGTGACATTTGCGTCTCATTCAGCCCGTCTGCTGTTTTTGTTTCGTTCAGATTTTTGTGACGTATCACAAAGCAAAGTCATACCATTTTGTTTTTGTTTCAAATTTCACAATTTTACAATATAAATAACATGTATGCAGCATCTTTGTTTGGATCGTGATTAAAATACACAGGCAACACCTTAGTTTACTTGCATGGAGAAATTTCTTTTATTTGTATCTGCCCGAAGGACTACTAGGGATCTTGAAATTTTTCGAGCCCTGTATATATATATATGGGGAAGTCGTGGCCTAATGGTTAGAGAGTCGGACTTGCCAAAACAGTACTTGATATTTAGCAAATGATTTTATTGGTCTGAGGTTGCTAAGGACAATGCCTCATTTTGAGACCAGGCCAGAAAAAATCAAGCTGAGTGGCCTGACATATCCAATCTTACTTCTCAATAATAAGGTTGATAAATAAATAAAAAACAAATGCACAATTAAAAATAATGATTCATAACCAATGTCTTGATGGCCTCTGTGAGATAAAATGCCGATTTTGCTAAATAATCCGGATTTTTACCTTTTTCACATTTTACCTTCTATATGTGTTTGTATGTGATGTGTGTTTATGTGTGCTCGACTATGTTTGTTTGTGCATGTTAGTGAGGCATGTCTATGTGTGTTGAAGAGTATGTGGTTGACGAGAATGGCATTTTTGATGATGACGGCTTTATCTGTCAAGACTGTTTTTGAAAAACCTTCAGATTGCGCACACACACACACACACACACACACACACACACACTAGTTGTTCAAGTTATTGTTAATTTTTTTTATGAAATTTATGTTTTATTAATGAAATTGATTGAAAGGTTTGAGTGTCTTACCTCTTCTCTTCGAAATTCTTTGCAGTCATTGGCTGTTAACTTAAAAACTGTTGCCATAACACTACTTGTTTTAATGTAATTCAAACTGATGTTCTAATGTAAGTTAATAGCAATGTTACACTGTTACATTATAAAATTAAATGTGTTTTATCAGAAATGTCTCTATTTCACTTTGCAGTTTGACTGGCCCATTTTTGCTGATCAGCCGGCCCATTTTACCTGAACACTGCTATCTCAAAAAATGTGGGGCAGCTAATGTTTCAAAACCTGTAGGGCCTGAACAATTATATTTTATTACATCAATTCAACACAAAAATATTAAAAACAGTCCTTATTAATCATATAACACAGTTAAATGTCATACATGGGCTTTTTGTTAGTGTCCCAAGCGAATAACCAAAAAGTGTCCCAATTTACCTGATATCACCCTATAGAAAACAAATATTTTAAATTGTAAATATACACTGTTATTAAGTTATTAGAAATGTTATATGTGGTTGGATCACACTGAATGCTTTGTCCATACATAGTTAATAGACACAAGATAATAAGTGCCTTACTTTTACACCCTGAAAGTTATTGTGAGACTTTTTTGGACGTTTAATAAAATCAAGATAAGTACAAATAAATACCTTTTTTAAATGCTAAAAATATACCTGAAGCTCAAGTATATTTGAAGCTCGTGCACAGCCTAATAAAGTCTTTGTTAAAGAAATTGGTGTGACTGTATTGTCTCATTCCTGTTACATACTCTTTAAATGCTGTAACTTTGTTGTGTACATTAACAGTAGTCAGAATTCCTAAGAGGATAGAAATAAACAGCTAAAGTTAAGCATTGCTCAGTGTAGGATTGATGATTATTAGCTTTAATGAGGGGGTTGAACTGAAGGAAGTTTTGATATTTTTAACCATTTTTCGAAATGCTAATATTATCATAAAGTTTTCTGCAAAGTGTAACAGGATTAATGTTCTACAGTGAGACAAACCAACAGAAAACATCAGACAGATCCACTGCTAATACTTACTTAGGTTTGTGCTGTTTTGCCTCCAAAGTGATGTCACTTCCTGGAGTATGGTGTCATTAGAGAAAGTGGATATTAGCATAGTTACTCCCTGAAAAAATACTGCACTTCTGACAAAATATGATCAGTACATCTTAGGATACTGCATAATATATACCCAACTGGCTGCCAAATGTATACATTTGCTGATGTTTCCAACTTAATTTATTGTATAAATGCAATCAGATACGTTCCCTTTGGTAGAATTTAAACAAGTTATATATCTCCTTTTAGAAATTGTGAATGAAATGTTTTAATGAAATGTTTATTTATTTTTTCTGACTGTAACAATGCTGATATACAGTACTTACTGTTCATTTCTTTGTTTGCATTACAAATGTATTTTTAACAAGGACACATTTCTTAACATTTTACCTAGGTTTGAATATGCAGGTTTAAAGTCTTTCTTAATTAGTTTGACCATACTGTAAAATCTGTAAATTTTCTTTCCTTTTCATTTTATGTTGTTTGCATTTGCAGTGCTGTTTTTTCTTTGCAAATAATCAATCAATCAATCAAGAGACAGGCTAACGGGATGAACTGATGTTGAGGCACATGGGGGAAAACTATAAATTTATTAGATAAAAACAAGTATGGTTTTAATGCATATCAAAACGAAATTAAGAAACAGGCTATATATATATATATATATATATATATATATGTGTCTTTTTTGCCAGTGACATGATAAAAATGACATCTGTTCAATTCAAATGGGTTAAATAACTTATAATTCACCTTATGTTCAAATAATTGTGATTAAAGAAAGCTGTGTAATGTTTTAATAATGTATCATATATTAAGACATATTTGACAGGGATATGAAAATCTACTTCTCAACAGGAATGACCCCAGAGCAGTAAAGCTTTACATCATCAGGTCAAGAAAGATTTTGCCTTGTTATTTTTTCTTGTGGCGTGACGACATTCACACAAAAATGCAGTAAGTTTATGGTATATGAAAGCACTGTTTGTACAATGCTTTCCCTAGAATATCTAAGAAGGGATGCAACAACAGGGTTGCTAGTTTATTTCATTTAGGCCATTTACCATTAAAAACATTTATCAAACCCTCATTAATTACAGCTCCCAACAGCGCTGGTCTCCTCTTCTTCACTGGATTTTCCTTATCTCACAAAGTACTTTTTCCCCACTTTACTTCTACGACCCAAGTTCACTTACACCATAAGAGACACCTAAACCCAAACACTATGGTATTGTGAGTGATGTGAAACACAACTCCAGGCCTCCGTTCCATTAAAGCCCGTTACTTGTGGAACGAAACCATAACAAACTCACTGCATCATCATAAGCATTCTCATAAAACATTCACACCAGATGAAGCCACGAGAAACCCATCGTCTATTGGCTAGCCAGCAGTCAGCCGAGAACAGGAGACCAGTTACCATTGGCTGCTTCCTGTCAGTAGCATCTCGACTGGAAGCACGAGTTCCTGTATCGATCCGGAGTCGTCCTCACCTCTGGCAGGGGAAGGGGAAGGGGGATTATTTTGTTGTATTGGTAATACGATATGATGAAAAGACTTACCACAAACTCAGACGAGCGCCTTTAGTACTGAACACCAGCAGACAGTGGCTCTTTTGAGCACATTGTTATAAAATGCTTTAATAAATAGTTTGATTTATTTCTAAGAACAAACATAAATTCCACTAAATGAACCAAATAACTTTTTTTCAGAGCAATTCTCCTGTACAAACAAAATTATAATAATACATCTTAAAAAAAACAACAAAACAAAACAAGAAAACTCTCCTCCAGCTCCACCCCATTTCCCTACCATAACGGACATTGAGCTTAACTTGCTTATTTATACTTGTTTGCTTGCACTTGATTGTGAACCAGTTGTTCAGGAACAGTTTTAAACGTTTGTTATCTTCCCATAAGCAAAAAAACGAAATCTAATATTTAACATCATGATGAAAGAAATCAAATCATAGCCAGCCGTTTCTGAGGTAATCCATTTCTTTGAGCTGGTACCTCGAGTACAAATGCTTTACAACATAATTGCTCCCTTCATGAAGTTTAGATCCAACCAAACAAACAAACAAAAACAGAAAAGAAGGAGAAAACAGTTGGACATCATAATTTTGACATATCAGCATTTTTACAAGAAACAAGCAGCATGGTTTTATGCTCAGCAAGAAAGGACAGGTGTGGAAAGGGAATAGGGGTCTTCAAGAAGGCGAACACACGCCACAATACAGCACACGATTGTATAGGTGTCTAGTGAAAACAAAAACCAACAACATAATAGGATGATCTCTGATTATATTTTTGTTCTGACTGGGACGCTGTATACATCTTACAAAACATGCCATATCAACTGGCATAAATAAAAGGAATGGTATGTAAAACAAAAAAACAAACAATAATAATCATAATATTTAAATCATAATAATAATAATAATAATAAAAAAGTGACTTAAGTTACTAAATTCAAATATACACAGCGACTCCTTTATTATATACACATATTTACAGATCTCTTGTCTTTGTTTAAACAAATACCTTGATGGTGATATGGGAGCTGCTCTTAAGACCAGCCTCTCCTCTTTGTCGTGATCTATTGGGTCAGGAGACCCTGAAACCGAGGGGCTTGTCTGAAGGCACTTGCGACCGACTCAAAATACAGCAATCCATTTTTTTTAAAGAGCATTCAGCCAAGATGACAGAAAGGACAGAAAAAACAAGGCCACTTTATAGGCACCGTAGCCCTCCTCACGGACAACGAGCTCGGTAAGGCAGGCGTGGAAGGAGAACAGATGAACGGTTGAAGGGGGATCCCCCGAAGCCAGCGTCCCCCACCCCCCGCACGTGGTCTGCACCGACATTGGGCCACTCGAAACAAAACCAAAAGCACAGCCATTTGTAAACAACAACGTAAAAGTCTTTATACGGTTTCTCTCACGAGTTCCTTAGTCCTGCTCCTAATCCAGCAGTTTTTTTCTCCGAAAACAAAAAAACGGCTTCTCACCGCCTCCTTATAAAGAAATATAATTTGCTTCCTCTGTACATAAAAAAAGGAACGAAAGAAATTTGCCACTTTATCAGCCTCAAAACATCTCGAAGAAGTCAAACATAAAAATAACACATGGGAAAAACTCCCGTTTCTGAGATGGCCTTGGTCTCCTCATCCTGCTCGACGGAGCTCATACGCAATGTTCTTTGTGCTCTTGGCCGGTGATGGCATTATTGACATTTTTACAGCTGTTGTCCTTTGGGCTGAAGCCTGTCCAGTAGGGTGCTTTGAGGGAAGGGCTGCTGCAGCCGCCACTACCGCTGCTCCGCATGGTGCAGATCAGCCCGTTCTTGGTCCGTGCTGCAGGTTTAGAGTACTTTTGGATGGGACCCTTGCCCCCCTCTGTCCCACACCACTCTTCAACCAGCTCCAGCTCTTCCTCCTCCATCTCCTCCTCGTCCTCCCCGCTTGTGCAGGTCCGATCCGGGGAGTCCATGAGCTTGGTGCGCTCGTACTGCGCGTCCCGGTTGTCCTTGTGCTGCGGCCGCGTCACGGGCCTCAGCGGTTCCCACTGGTTGTTGACGCTCTCCTCCGTGGGCACGCGCTCACGCCTCTCACGCTCTTTTCGACGCTTACGGGTCCACCACACACAGACGATGACGCAGAAGACCCAGAGTATGCACAAGATGACACACAACACAGGCACCAGGTAGTCTGTATGGAAAGAGAGTCGAGTCAGACACGGCAAATCTGGGACTCGTGCCAAGGAGGAAAATAATGAACAAAAAGTAGGGATGCACAACAAAAACATTTTTTATTGGCCGATATAACTCACTTAATTTATCAGTAATGGTCAATAGTGGATATTTTAATTGGCCAGCATTGGATATTTAATTGTGGACACTAATTACACCAATTTTTCAATATTATTCAAGACAAAATAATGTGTACATGTATAATATAAAATGGTGTGTATATATAATATAAATATATGTAAACACTTTTGTCTAATACAAACTGCAATAAACACTCTAAAACAAATATATAATTATATAAATTATTTTTAAGATCAAAAGTCACTTAAACACTCATTTGTTATTGACAAGTTTTTTTATTAATTAGACAAAATAGTATATATTTTGTAATATTAGCCATAATATTAGTATAATAATAGTATAATATTAGCCATAACATTACAACAAAAATAACCATCATCTAAGTGGTATGGGCCACAACAGAATTTAAATAATAGATATTTCGATGGGCCAGCATGAGATATTTAGTTGTGGACACGCAATACATCAATTTTTCGATATGATTTGAGTCAAAATAGTGAAAGTAAAATAAAATAAAATAAATCACACTATTTTGTATTCACAAAAATAAATATAATAAACACTCTAAAATAATTATTAAAATTAAATGTATAAATTATTTTTAAGATAAGAAGCCACTTAAAAAATCATTAGCTATTGACAAGAATTATTTTAGATTTTTTTTTATTAGACAAAATAGTATATTTTTTTAATATCGACCATGTTACATTACATAACTGAAATGATTGAGAAAAAGGTCTTGAATAATTTGGCTTTAATTCCTATAGGTTTCAAATATTATTCCTTTTTTTAAAACCCATTTATAATTGTCTTAACCCAAAAATCATTAAGTTTGTCCCATCATTCTAATTAATGTATTGCTGTGGAGTGACAGGTGACTGCGGAGGAGTTATATGACTGTCACACAGGTTTATGGCCTCCTGCCCACAACTGCTGGATCCTCTCGGTACCCTTCCTCCTGTGACTCACAAAGACATTTAAGCTGCACTAATTGGTGGGGTTGACACTCGGTCAGGCGATGAAGGCTGGCTTTAGCATCAAGACCAGTTGGCCCCTGCTCTACTCACCCACTGGCTGGGACATGACCGGCATCTCCACTTTGACCTCGATGACGGCAAGCATGGCGGTGCTGTTGTGCCGCTTGGACAGCGTGCTGACTATGGTACTAGCTGCCTCTTGGATCTGACTGTGGTTAGGCTGCTCGTCCTGCTGGAACGACTGCAGGATAAATAATGGGGATTAAATATGGTTTAGATTGTATCCCAAACATGTAATATGAGGCCAAGATTCCAAATAAAAGCCACCTACAAAGAACAATTATTTATTGTAAATGTGAGGTTTTGGGGCATTGCTGCATTGACACTTGACAATCCCGTATTTGTTGATCTTCTACATCCGATTTTATGTCTTGTTAACCAGAATGTTTGGTTTTCTGTAATGTTTTCTCCATTGTTAAAAATTCTGATTTGTCACCAAGATGTTTTTAAGCTAGCAAAGTAGCTAAGCTAGCAAAAATAGTCTTTTAAACGTTTAATATAGCAACACCTATTTAATGAAAAATACATTAATTCTAATAAACAATGTTAGAATACAAATCCTTTTTCATTTGTGATGGAACCAGTGGACAATGTTAAACCACACCACAACTCTAATGTTTCAAATTTGTTTACATCATACAAGTATTGTGGTACAGACGCTCAGTAAAATTACTAAAACGAGAGCGGTCTTTATCCAAAAAGCAGCTGACTCAATCATTTCAACTCTATTCTGTTTTCAACATGCAAAAACCTGCAGCTGTTCAAAGTTCCTGCCTACAGGTTCCATTTTAATGAGTCAGGACAGTTAAACATGGGCCTTCAGTTATTGACTTGTTACAACACTGCAGGGATTTAGTGTAATCTGATCGAGGATAAAGGATGCATTTGTAGGTAACCACTATTTGTAAGCAACTTCCGTAAGGCAAAATGTTTCATTGAACACAGGAAACACGGCTTCAAATTACACAAAACTTGCCTGACAGCACAAAGATATTAATTTTCATATCATTACCCAAGTATGTTTTTGTTATTTCAAGCTTATTTGGTTGTGCAACATTTATTTGTCTAAAGACAAAAGTGTATATCCTAAGGCTGTGTGAGATGCGCTGAAGCCCGTTTCCAGCACTCTCCGTGTGGGTGGAGGGAATGCTGCAATGCAGTACGGCCCGCTGCTGGTCAGTCAACTGAATCTCATTACAACATAATGGGCTGGTTTGAAGAGGGGGCCGGTTGGCATTGCTCTGGGCGTCCGGGCATTTCGAGGAACTGCGCTCGACTTGGTGAGGAAATCAAATTTGCATCCATTAACAGATTTGTGCGAAGAGTATCCAGAACCCCCATGGTTTTGACTTTCTATTCTGCTGATAATAAATCTTAGGGGCCCACACATCCCTGTGTGAAGGGTACAGGCGTGCGAAGGACTCATGAATTTAAAATGTGCGAGCATAGAAAGCTCTCCCTTGGTGCACAAAGCGAGGGTCTTCAAAATGTACTTACTATGGCCACCTCTACTGCGTCCTGGTTTTTGTAGGAGAGGTCACAAAGAACCAACAGCGTGCGATCTTTCGCCAGGCTCCGCGTGGCAGGCATATACCTCAGCTCTGAGCAGACGTTCTCCACTGTTGTTCCCTAGAATGCACAGTGCGTACTTAGAAGAATATTTCAGAAACAGCACTATATTGTGGGTCATAATGTAAATACGTTAGGAGAAGGATCAAAAAGGTACAGTACCATATAACATTACCACCTTTTTTTTAGACATTGTGGCCTGGTAATATAAAATTTTTTGGACACAGACAGATTACTGGAAATGCCAAAGTACCACATTACTACCATTGCTTTGTGGACATGGTACCCTGGTAATATCACATTTTCTGGAATTTTTAGACATATTTGGACAACTACAATACCAAAGTACTAAGGTATTATGAAAATTTTCAGAAATATACCAATGTTTTTTGGGATAAGACTATTGTCATATTAAAGTTAAGTTACTGCTATGTCTTCTATGTGATCATGTTACCCTGGTAATACCATGATTTTATGGACAGACTACCATTGAAAAGTTAGGAGTCGGGAAGATTTGAATGTTTTTGAAAGTCTCTTATGCTCACCATGGCGGTATTTATTTGAGTGTGGTATTACCATCTGATACCATCTTTGTACCATGGTACCACCACAGGGCTTTTGTGTAATGGAACAAAACACCAACTTACAGGTGAATACTTACTGTGGGTAGTTTGTCCCTGTTGAATATAAGGGTGATGCGAGCACAGCTCTTGTCCAGATAGACTGAGTTGGGCTCACATTTGGTTTGGAGGGTCAGGGTGGCTTCAGGGCTTGAACAAAACCCCCACTGGTGGCAAGGGGGAGAGAGACACGTCAGGAAGTTGTGCTCCAGGCATTCTCGACCTCCTGGACAGGAGTGAAGCTCTCGCCCTGGCGTCCCTGGCAACAGGCACGGCCGCCTGCCACACACCACCTGAGAAAGTTTCATTAACAAATTCATTTATTTATATACATAAAAAGAAAAAAATACATTTTTGACATGTGTTCTTCAGGCACTTACCTTGGTGCACTCCACTTTGCCGTTGACACATTGACAAGTGTTGCATTCTTCCTCCCAGCGGCTGCCATGCGGGAACTGAAGTCCAGCATAGTGACACGTCTTCCCAGTGCCAATGACTGCACCACAACACAAACACAAACACAAACACAAACACAAACACAAACACCGTAAGACTGGGGCCAATTCTAAATTAGGAGCAGATCCCTTTCCTGTCTGGAATGATCTAAGTCACATGATGCCAGGTCAATGCTCTTACGAACGATGCCGCCTGCCTTTCATGTCGTTCACTCCTTAGGAACCATATTCCCTGTTTTGTGGCTTTAGATCCACATCTATTAGCTTTTAGCTTATCTATATGCTCGTGCGACAAATCACCGTATTATAATGATTTCTGAAAGATCATATGACATTGAAGTAATGGCTGCTGAAAATTCAGCTTTGCCATCACAGAAATAAATTACATTTTAAAATATATGAAAATAGAAAACAGTTGTTTTATATTTGTATTTTTACTGTATTTTCTATCAAATAAATGCAGCATTGGTGAGTATATAAGACTTCTTTCAAAACATTTTAAAAATCTTACCGACTCCAAATTTTTGAACAGTAGTATATACATTTAAAATGTACATTGTTTCTTTTCCAGAAAACATACAAAAAATATTTATGACTCATCCTGCACTAGAGAGATTTTTGTCCAATCAAATGCTCTCTAGAGAGGGAATGTCCCAACTGCTTCCGACTAACAAGCAGAATTAATGTTCATGGCTGTGAAGTAAATAAACCATTCTGGCTATATTTGAGGCTCTCACTTTGAAATAATAAGCAAAGCACATGATTTCATGGGGACTTTAAGGTCCATTTCTCAATATCAGCAAGCTGAGAGATGAAAAGAGATTGACTGATTTAATGATTAAACAATAACTCTTACACTCTTGGCATTGAGGTCCGGTGCGACCGAGTGGGCAGACACATCGGAAGCCATTGATCTCATCCACACAGGTGGCACCATAGGCACAGGGTGATGACTGGCACTCATCAATGTCTGGTGAAGCAAAGAGAACATGCATTCGCATCAATACACCTACTGCCTAGGGCAGAAATGTCAAATGGTTAGGAAAGCTAAAACTGTGATTTGAAATCAATACATAAAGTGTCAGGATTGATGGCGTTCCCATGGCTGCACCTCAGAAAATGAGGCCAGGGAAATGCATGGAATTCTTAAAGAGTACGTCAGAGCCATAAATGGACACAAGAAGAAGAATTTTTTCACTGGTTGAATAATTGATCTCCTCTGTCTTTTTGTGAGGCATGGCTAACCTTTGACCCCCTGCGGAGGTCAAAGGGCACGGGATGCTCGGTAATCCACCAGCACCCTCTTTCTATACATCCCTATTCTTTCCTCCTCAAGATACTCACTGATACGACAGTCGGGTCCAGCGAATCCAGGGGCGCATTCACAACGGAACCAGTTCACCCCGTCCACGCAGATTCCTCCATTGTAGCTGCAAGGAGACGCGAGGACAATGAGGTTATCAGCCCAAAGGGACACCTTCGCCTCAGTGATTGACATGATACTTCCAATATACATGCATAGAAGAGGAAAGGCAGGAAAAAGGGGGAAGAAAAGAGTTAAAGAGAGATGGAAGAAGCGGGATGCGGGATACTGGCACCTTTCAGATGCAAATCCCCACAGTGGCTCCTTGCTGGGATCCCCACCCCCTCTTCTGCCCCACCTCCCAAATCCCTTGCTCCCAGGTCAGCGATGAAGAAAGGCAGGAGGACAGAGCAGGCTGGGAGAAAAAGAGCCTGTCCATCCCCTCCTCCCCTCACCGCTGGGGGTGCTCTTTTAGGGCCATTGGCTCTATTGTGGTCCCCATTAAAACCAGCCCGGGGTCTCCTGAGCTGTGGGATTTAGGGACATCTTCTCCAGTCTTTACAACCAACGTCCCCCTACAAACCCCTCCCCTCGGTGCATCCGCTCGCAGAGAATGGGGGTTAGCGGGGCAGGAACAACAGGGTGGAATAGGGCAGAAAGCCATATTAGAAGGGTTATTCCTAGCCGTCTATGTTGTACAGGGAAGGGGAGGGTCGGCCCAAACAGAGGGCACAACAGATCTACTGGCGTCCCCAGGCAGAATAGAGTAAAAAAGAAGAGGAACAACTGCAGAGCCACATAGGTCTTCTTACCAGGGGTGAGGGTTGCAGTCGTTGATGTCTGCAATGAATTACAAGAGAGGAAGAGAGAGTCAATGCAAGGCATTTGCGCATCGATCGAATGTAAATTAACACTTCTGTGGATCATGATATTTGCTTTCAGTGGTATGCAGACATGCACTGGCAGCTAAATAGTGAATGGGGGAATTCACTCACTCTGAGCACAGGTGGGCCCCTCCCAGCCGTCTTTACAGATGCAGGTGAACGTGTCACCACCACCCACGCATGTTCCTCCGTTCAGGCAGGGGCTGGAGGCGCAAGTGCTGCTCTTTGCTGAAGCAGAAAGACAAATGGGAAAGTTACAGAAAGTGAGCAAGTGATTCTGTAGACTAGTATACCTCAAATTAGGGTCCCACAAGGGCCAATAGCTAAGGGGTCTGAAGAAAATGCCATAATGTGTTACTAAAAAAAAATATAATAATTTCACATTCATTTTCTGTATAGGTTTCTGTAAGGTTTCAAGTCTTGAATCAAATGAACCAGCTCCAAAATGAACCGGAAGCCAAAAAAGACAAAGATAGAAGACTGACTGTGTACTTTTATTTACATTCTGTTAAATACATTTTTTTTTACCATGATACAATATAAAACTGAAAACTGAAAAAAGTATAATACTAATTATATTAGATGTTTATTAGAAAAGTGTTTGGGGACTGATATTTATACACACGCGCACACACACACACACACACACACACACACATAAACACATATTTAATATATGCATTTTATGTATGCATATAATTCACAAATGTATGTGCTATTTATTTATTTGGAAAAATATTTTGGATTCATTTTCTGTATAGGCATTTAAAAAAGACATTTTTTGTTTAATGTTTTTAAACGGTTGAAATGGTAAAGGACAATTTATATAAATTAAGTCAGTAACCATAATACAATATAAAACTGACTATACAGCACATATGAAGAGAGTGAGAATGCAGGATTGCAACGTTGACTGTGTTGAGAGGGACTGATGTGATTATATTCATGCAAGTGGTTCAAAAAGTCTAAGAAAACCAACTGTGAATAAACGGAGTATGAAAACTGGACTTTCGCAGAGGTCTACTCACCTGTGTTGCATGTACTTCCTCTCCATCCAGGAGGGCAGGCGCAGCGGAAAGTGTCTCCGTGGTCATAGCAGGTCCCTCCATTACTGCATGTGGTGGCATCACACTGACTTTCACCTAAAGACACAAAAAAGGACTCAAAATATTACCAGTCAGTTAACATATGCAGCTAAACTATATAATAGGAAAAGAGGGAGTATTTTGACATAAAACATGGAGCGGTAACTCACGTGAATGACAGGTCTTTCCTTTCCAGCCATTGGCACATTCACAGTAGAAGTCATTGACCAGGTCCACACAGCGGCCGGCATTCTTACAGGGGCTCCGACTGCACTCGTTCACATCTGAGTGCAGAAATACAAGTGAGAAAGGTAAGATACTGAATGTAAAGAAGATCACGATGATGAGGAAGATGAAGACAGACACTCACTGAGGTCACAAAGGTCACCCTCCCAGCCATCCGGACAGAAGCATTGGAAAGAGCTGATCCCGTCGATGCAGGTACCTCCGTTTCGACACGGATTGCTCACACAGTCGTTTACATCTGGGTAGTTGATATATAAAATTTCAATGAACATCAAGATTTTAGGACAAAATGTACAAATACAATGGGGTTCAAAAGACCTGACTGAACTTCAGGAGTTTAAAATTTTAATTTAAATAAAATTTTAAAATGGAAATAAACCATGTTTTCAACAAAATGAAATTAAATAAACAATGAATTATGGTTCTGCACTATTTTTAGGTCCTTAATCCAATAAAATTGATCATGTGAATTTTGTACAGATGGTCAGATGTTATTGCATCCATTGATGCCCAAGATGCTATTATATATATATATATATATATATATATATAAAATATTTTCAGTTTAATTGGCCTTGTGGTACCTATAACAAATTAATTTTCAAATACACTATGTAACTAATGAATACAAGTTTATTTATAAAATTATTAAATCAATAATTACAACTACTGATAAAAGAACTGTTATATCAAAATTTTTTTTTTCTCAAAAATTTTCATTATTTTTAAAACAATTAAAAAATAATTGGACAAGTTTTGCTTGAAATTGTTGGGAATTATAGCACAGGAATCTGCTGAAATTGCTTGAAAAGTCACGTCAATTACCCATCTACAATATAAGATAAACAAAATTAATGAAGAAGTGAACAAACAAGGACAAACAGGCATCACAGGAATATGATTAAAAAAGGGAAAATGGTGAAACAGTAAGTATGACTCACTCTCGTGGCAGTAGGTTCCTGTAAAGCCGAGCTCACAGGTGCAGGTGAAGTTGCCGCCCAGCTGGCTGATACAGCGGCCATGAGGACCACACACATTAGAGTTGATGTGTCTCACACCCCCATCTGAGCTGTTACTCGCCACAGCTATTGTACAGCTGTCAATCACTGGGAATGAGAAAACAAGAGAAGTGGGAATAAGATCAGACGCCTGTTAAGGTGAACTATTGTGCACTACTGTACAAAAGCAGGTCATCTGTGGCTATTGCATCTCGGTCGGCAGCAGAACAGGAAGGGCAGTACCTTGGCAAGGGGTTGTCTTGCAGTGGTCCTTGCGGTTTTCACATGTCTTGCCCTCGTAGTCTTCAGGACAGGCGCAGTAGAAGTCACCAGGCAAACTGTAGCACAAAGCCTTATTCTGACAGGGGTTCGATTCACAGGGGTTTGGGTGAGAGAGACTCTCCACCTTCAAATTAGACAGGGAGCTTGATTTAGTGAATGAGTTAGGCCAGTCCTCTTAAACTATAGGGATAAACAGTCAGGTAAGCTGTGGAAGGCTCCCATAAGCCTACAGCTAAAGGAGACAGCACCATTATACTCACACAAGAGACCAATCAAAACAAACTGTGCAGCTAAATTTAGACATCCTTCCGCTCTTACGGAGCATATTCAGCTGGGACGAGGAACACTTTTGCACATCTAGTTCTCCTTCTACCTCGACTTGGCCTTGTTCTGGTAAATATTCTTAGAAATTAATTTCTAATTCACACAGAAACTCATAATTCTTCTAATTTGTTAACATATTTAATATAAATGTTACATCATTTTATATAATAAAAAAAAAACTTATATTCTATTCTATTCTATTCAAAAGTGGCTTTAGAAGAGGCTTTTTTGACCATAAGTCATATCACTGGTCTTCAGTCCACAGCAATCTATCATTTTGCAATTGACTTTGCCAATCTGTCTGAGGTAGTCTTAGGACACGTTCACTATTTGTTAACTACGGTCTAGGACACAAGCAGATGGATGTCTTTACCCACTGCATCACGTCTCTCGCCATGGGTGCCACATTTTTAGGATGCTGTGTCAAATTCTCTATGGGTCAAGGGTATTATTAAAAAAAGTATTTTTATATAATTTTTCTAAATTAATGTGTTAAATTGACAGCCTAATACGATATTTTTTAACACTTAAAAAAAAAAAAAACAGTTATTTTAAATCAACACTTCACAATATTACTGTTTTATTGTAGATTTTGATATAATATAATATAATATAATATAATATAATATAATATAATATATTATAATATAATATAATATATAGGGAAAAACTCACTACAAACTAGAACCCGACCGATATAGGTTTTTTGGGGCCGATACAGATACCGATATCAGGGAGTAAAAAAGGCCGATACCGATATATCGGCCGATATTCTTTGTGTATATTATAGTACAGTACCAGTCAAAAGTTTGGCCACTTTCCCATTCGTGTGTCCAAACATTTGACTGGTACTATATATAGAATACAGTATATACATAAACAGAATATATATACATAAATCGGCGGCATATTCGCCGATACCGATATATCGGCGACAGGCTCATATCGGCCGATAATATTGGCAAAACGATATATCGGTCGGGCTCTACTACAAACACCTGTTCCAATAATGTTTACTGATTAATGTAGGTTTCTGCAGCTTTCTATGAGTCCCTCAATGTCCCAACTTCCCATTTTTCTCACAAATACATTTCTAGGGAGTTGAACCTTTTTGGAATGTAAACAACCTCTCTAAAGTACACATCTTGCCAGCTGCCATGTAAGGTGTTAGTTTGTTCTATAACACTGTTCCCCCGAGCTCTAAGACTGCTGAATTTATTTTATTAGGGATATACATTGTACTGTATATACTGGAAGCCGAAACGCCTGCACAAAGCACTTATTCACAGGCAGTGATGTAAGAGGAGCATCTGCAAACCAGACTGTATCAAGATACATTAAACTGCTAGAGCAGACAGATGTAAGAGATAAACAGCCATTTGTACTGGATCCGACGAACAAACCCAGTTGGATGTGTTTCAAACAGTGGTATGTTAAATAGTCAAAACTGGTCAACTTATAATTTTAAAATACTAATCTAAAGCTGATTATCAAAAGGAAACAGATCTTAGAAGATATATAGTGACTTGAGGATTTCATATAGTGGTTTAAGCATTACTGCTTCTAAAAGTTGTAAATCACATATTTTTTCTAATGACATTTAATTCAATTAAAGAGATCTAATCCCATATCAAAACATGTCAGATTCTATGTCAATACTAGATCAAAGCTTTATATATAGCCTCATGTGCATCTGCACTGAAACCAGCCCTTCCAGATCAAAAGCTTCCCTAATATAGTCTCACTTCTCCAAGAGACTGCAGACAGTATGGTCTAATGTGATCGCATGGCATGCCAGGCATGAATATAACATGAAAATCAAGGCCTTCTCTTTCCCGGGCTGATTGTGGGCAGGCGGCCAGGAGGCCAAGAGAAGAGTTGCCTCATTCACTACAACTTATTTTTAGCTGAGACTGGCTCAGGACCAGCTTCCAGCACCTCTATGGAAGTCCATCTTTAGCCTGCCACTAGACTTAAACTGGCTCCAGACCAGCAATAATGGCCACATGAAGAAAAAATACTCCAGCCCTCCACCCAAACCCTGCTCTAGTTACCCTGGCACACCTGTGGCAGAATAGCAGGCTTGATCTGCCTTACACCAAGGCTTTAAACATACATACACGCAACAAGGAGGGTGCCGACCAATTTAGCATTGCCGAACGAGATTGTGAGCAAAGTATGAATGGTGAAGTGACCATCTGTATTACTAAATGTCACCAATTAATCAAGACTGAGCCCCTCTGTATCCATTAAATGTTTATAAACCAACAGATGAATTCCAACTAAAAACGAAACAAAACAACAAAACACAAAACAAAAACAAAAAACATCTGGGCACAAAACAAAAAATAAATAAATAAATAAACCATCATGCTGAACAATACTGACAAAAAGTTATCTGTAAAAAAGCGGTTTTGCACTACAGCAATGTCTTTAAACAGTATAAACAGTAAAGATTCTCACCTCACAGAGCATCCCTGCATAGTTTGGCAGGCATTCACAAACAAAGCTGTCCAGAATGACATGGCAGTGGCCGCCGTTTTGACAAGGACCGCTGGCACATTTGTTCCTTGAAACTTCACAGTGCAAGCCCACAAACCCTGGAGGACACTGACAGTGGTAACCTCCATGAACCAGCTCCTGCACAGACACAAATATTATAAACCAACAGATGAATTCCAACTAAAAACAAAACAAAACAACAAAACACAAAACAAAACAAAACCACAAAAAAAAAAACATCTGGGCACAAAACAAAAAATAAATAAATAAATAAACCATCGTGCTGAACAATACTGACAAAAAGTTATCTGTAAAAAAGCGGTTTTGCACTACAGCAATGTCTTTAAACAGTATAAACAGTAAAGATTCTCACCTCACAGAGCATCCCTGCATAGTTTGGCGGGCATTCACAAACAAAGCTGTCCAGAATGACATGGCAGTGGCCGCCATTTTGACAAGGACCGCTGGCACATTTGTTCCTTGAAACTTCACAGTGCAAGCCCACAAACCCTGGAGGACACTGACAGTGGTAACCTCCATGAACCAGCTCCTGCACAGACACAAATAATATGACACTAAATATAAATAACACAATTAATTGAGATGCTAAAGTAAACGAAGAATTGTAAAGGCTATACCTTGCATGTTGCTCCATTCTGGCACTGTCCATGGCAGCCATTGAGATCTGCAGTCATGGGCAAAGTAAATGAAGCAATTAATCAATGGCTAAGTGGAGGAAATCATGACAGCAGTTAGGGACAGCTGAAGACGTGCAATTAACTCAAATTAGATGAGCTCGGTAAGTGCGCTGAGGATGGAAATGTTAGTACAATCAACACAAACGTGAGATACAACCAATAACCCAGCATGCAACAGTAAATAAAGCCTAAGACAAAATATACAGTGTGCAGAACCCCACAGGATATCAAGTGTCCAAAGAGGAAACCCTGAGTGCCACTATAGTGTATGCTGTTAAAGATGGAGGAAAGGAGAGGAGAGGAGCATGAGGAGATACTGACTGATGTCACAGTTCTGTCCGGCCCATCCTTGAAAGCAGTCACAGTGATATCCACCAATCATGTTTTTGCAAGAGTGAGCATTTACACAAAGCTTCCCCATACACTCATTTGCATCTGTGAAAGTGAGGGAAAGAAAGAATTGGGAGATTTTGTCGACAATTGGTAGATTGGGAGATTGAAAAGAAGGAGATTGGAAGTGTAGAGCAGCAGGAGAGGAGCAGAGAAATCTGAGATCTTGTTGTGTAACCCCACCACCATTAAGCCCATTGAACAGTCTGCTGGCTTGAAACACTAACAGTCACAACGATGCCAGTCTGCTTGACTTCCTGATCAGTGACTATTACACAGCAAAAAAAAAACAAAAAAAACAAACAAATCTACTAACAAAACATCCTTAAAACAAGATCATTTTACTTAAGATATTAAGACTTGTATTCAAACGATATATCTTAAATGACCCCATTATAATAATATAATATAATATAACAATTAAAAAAAACTCTATTTGAATATATTATAAAATGTTATTTAATTCGGGGAAGCAAAGCTGAATTTTCAGCAGCCATTACTCCAGTTTTCACTGTCACATGATCCTTCAGAAATCATTTTGATTTGCTCAAAAAAAAATGTTTATAATCTATGTTGAAAACTGAATAAAGTAAAAAAAAAAAAAAAAACAGTGTTTTTCAGTTTCATGTATATAAACATTCAAACTGGGCAATTTTACACCCAGCATGTGTGTCCAGGCTATTCACCGCCCACCACACACACACACACACATGCATGCTAGAGAAAGGATCAGTTACATTGACTAAAAACGATTCAAAGTAGGGCAAGGCATTATGATGTATACAGTGCAATGCATCCTGGAGGAGAGAAACACATTTGCAGCCGATCAAATATGAGCTCTGTGGTGCTAAAATGGGATGCTTTGTGGAACGGGAGGGGTGGAGAAGGAAGGGCGACCCATGACACACTGCGTTCTCAATTTGTGAAGCCAAATGCTGGTTCAAAGTGCAGACAGATTATGCAAATCCCCCTGTCTCAGTGATGGGTATCACCAGGCTCTAATCCGGGACCCGTAAGAGCTCAAGCTATGCTCGCCATGCGATGGGACCCCGCTGTGCTGCCAAGATACAAGACCGGCTTCCCTTGCCATATACTTGACACATCCCAGCATGACAAGCATCCAAGCGGCACACTGGCCTCAGCATCTGGACACATGTTGGGGAGGGGACGGGTGTCTGTGCTCCAGTGTAGGTCTGTAACTAGGTCTCCAGACTGAACAGATTGAGCCTGGAAACAGTCAGACAGGAAGGTGCACGAAAGGTTTACGCACCTTTAGCACAAGTGGGTCCCTCCCAGCCTGGTGGACACTGGCACTCAAATCCGGTCGGGACTTCATGACATGTTCCTCCGTTCGCACAGGGGTTGGAAACACACGCATGTTCAGCTGCAAAAACACAACAATGCGTCATAAATATAGACAGAAAAGACACTGATAAAACATCATAACTGACTTTATGATTTGTTGCTCTATCTATCTATCCATCCATCCAATTATCTATTTATCAATCTATCCATTTATCAATTTATAAATCAATCCATTTATCCATCCATTTACCGATCTATCCATTTATCCATACATTCATATATCTATTAGTCCATTAATTTATCAGTCCATCTATCATTTTTCCATCCATGCAACCATCCATCCATCCTTCAATCAATTTATCAATCTATCCATCTATTTATTTTCCATCCATCCATCCATTCATCCACCCTTTTATCAGTCTATCCATTTTTCCATTTATCAATTAATCCATCCATCCCAACACCACCCATTTAACCCAACATCCATCCATTGTTTTTTCTGTTCATCCACCCATCCATCCATTCATCAATTTTTTTTCTATTCATACATCCCTATATCCATCTTTTTTCTAATCCTTCCATCCATCCATCCATCAATCCATCCAATTTTCCATCTAATCATCTTTTTTCCTATCTTCCATCCATCTATCTATCTGTTTATCAATTTATAAATCAATCCATTTATCCATCCATCTATTCATTTATCCATGCATTCATTTATCCATGTATTAGTCCATCCATTTATCAATCTACCATTTTTCCATCCACGCATCCATTTATCTATTCATCCATCTATCCATCCATCCTTCTATCCATTTATCAATCAACCTATCCTCTATTTATTATCCATCCATCCCAACATCAGTCTATCCATTTTTCATTTATCAATCCATCCATTTATCAATTAGTCCATCCATCCACCTCAACACCACCCATTCAACCCAACATCCATCTATTATTTTTTCTATTCATCCACCCATATATCGTTTTCTATTCATCCATCCACTCATCCATCGTTTTTTCTATTCATCCATGCATTCATCCATCAATTTTTTCTATTCATCCATCCATATATCCATCATTTTTCTATTCATCAATCCATTGTTTTTTCTATTCATCTATCCATCCATAATTTTTTCTATTCATCCATCCATACATGCATAGTTTTTGTATTCATCCATCCATCCATCTACACATCATATAATTAATTGTTCCGTGCACACTGTAGCTCTTTTATTTACTGAATCCTCTATCCATCTCATACCTATTTCACAGTTCTTGCCAGAATACCCTTCAGGACAGGCACAGTTATATTCATCAGGTTCAGAGTTCATGCAGGTCCCGCCGTTGACGCAGGGATGGTGCGTGCCGCAGTAGTTCAGATCTGTAAAGACACATAAAATAATAATGAACTGGGGTACTTCTTAAGTTCATGGGGAAAGCAATTAAAGTAAAAAAAAAAAAAAACAGTGTTTATTTAAAATATAAATATTTTGTAAATGTCTTTACTGATACTTTTGATCAAATTAATGAATACCTTCTGAATATATTATTAATATCTTAGATAAAAAAATCTTACTGACCCCAAACCTTTGAAGAGTAGTGTATAAATATATATAAAAACATATATATTTAGGTTTGGAGAATATTCTCTGAAATATTTTTTTAATAAAATTAATCTAGAAAATAAATAGGAAATATACAAAATAAATATCTTCTAAAATGTTATTCTTAAATATATCTTGTTTTAAGGAAGTTTAAATATTTTCACTGGAAAACAAGACAAAGTACCAAGAATCTGATTTTTTGCATCGTAAACTAAAGGTCTACTCGTAATCTCCCCTCCTTCTCATCCCTCCTCTATTAGCCTACAGCAGGTGACCAATCAGTTCAGGGGGCTACGACTCTTTTGACTTAGCCATGAAAAAACTAGTGCTTATTAGGAGTTTAAATATTCATCAGGGGCCCCTAGTGAGGTGCGCTTCGCTCCCCTGCGCACCTGTCCTCCTGGAAACACGACTCCCCACCATGCTCTGGCCTGGCTCTTGTGAGTGAAACCCAAGCTGGAGGCTAAGGTTCGAAGCGTAAGATGAGCAGCCCGACTCCTGTTCCCACCCCACGCTTGTTTACAGGTCACAATCCACTTCCTTTCACATTCATCACTTCCACTAACAAGGGCTGCACACCATTGTGAGCAAAAGGATGCTAGAAACTCCTGTGGCACCTGCAATGGGCCATCTGATCTAGTCTTAGAACCAGTTCTAAGGCTGGCCCTCCTTTTTACATATGAATATATGGCTGTCTTACAGTCAACAAGGATCAGATTGCCACTACAAGTTCTTCATGCAGACTAATCAAATCACAAGTCTTGCTTTGCCTAAAACACATGCAGGCTTGCAAACTGCATGCAATTTAGATCTAACACACCATATTCAACCATTCAAATACATAATGGACCATATTTTTCAACAAATGGCAATGCAAAAATGAATAAAATGGCATGAGTGGATGGTCCAATGAACAGTGTGTGTTTAAAAACTCAAATGTGCCGGAATGCTCTAGTTCAAAACACAACTGCAATACAGGAGGATCTCAATCTTACCGATTTGACACGTCTTCCCAACCCACTGAGGAGGGCAGACACACTCAAAGCCATTTTCCAGGTCAATACATGTTCCGCCTTGCGCACACGGGCTGGAGGCACATTCATCCATGTCTGCAACATCAACACAAAATCATGTTACATTCCGCAGATATGAAAAACACACCTGAAATGGTGCTTGAAAATAACATGCTGAGAGACAGTTTGCATAAAAAGCTATTACAGGAGTTACATCCCATAATATTATGGAATGTTTTCAGTTTCATGTATATAAACATTCAAACTGGGCAATTTTACACCCAGCATGTGTGTCCAGGCTATTCACCGCCCACCACACACACACACACACACACACACACACACACACACATGCATGCTAGAGAAAGGATCAGTTACATTGACTAAAAACGATTCAAAGTAGGGCAAGGCATTATGATGTATACAGTGCAATGGAAATGTGTCAACATGTCAGCTTTATTGTTTATATATTGGGACATATTCACAGAATTAAAAAGAAAATCCAACACCAAGCAGAAAACTATAGCATGCACTCCAATATCAATAAATGTGAATGATTTAGATGATGCATTGCTTCCTGTGTCATCAAGGTAAGTCCCAATTTTTGGTGAAATAATAAACAATTCAAATGATGTACATTCACACAAATGCAAGTATAGGGTTATTTCACAATGGTATAAGTATAGGGTTATCAACATATCCAGTCATATTTTTCACATATTATTGTTTTTAACAACTTGTTACTCTACATAATGTGAAGCTGTGTTTATCTACGCTTTGCATCATTAAAAAAAATTATGCAATAATATAATATAATATAATATAATATAATATAGGCGATTAAACGGTTATGGAGAAAGGGCAGGGTAGAGTGTCAGTGTGTTCATCAGAAAGAGCAAAGGCTTTTCTTTATGCAAGACAGTAACGCGATTAGTTTGATATAATCCAGGTCGCCAGATTAGCTGCTATTAGAGCACAAATTGTTACAGTTTTAATATGAGCACAAAGGCACAAAGAACTGAGCAGCAGCCATTTGAAATTTGAAAGAAAATAGGAGGAAACAAAAACAAGAGAAATTCCTCCCTCCTTTCTTCTCGCTTTAGTCTTATACATATATTGTGGTGAATGGGGTGGAGAGGGGGCTGTGTAAAAGGGTCAGACAGGCAAGTGAAGAGGGAAGAGGTGGGGGGGACAGGCACAGTTATATTCATCAGGTTCAGAGTTCATGCAGGTCCCGCCGTTGACGCAGGGATGGTGCGTGCCGCAGTAGTTCAGATCTGTAAAGACACATAAAATAATAATGAACTGGGGTACTTCTTAAGTTCATGGGGAAAGCAATACTAACCCTATTCAGATTTTTCTTAAGCCTGCTAACATTTGTTCTTTGAATGAAAACAGTTGGCAGAAACTATTGCTGGGCTCCCAGCAGGCCTTGTAAGGCCAGGCTGTGCACATGAAAGCTGGTAAATAAATAAAGAGAACTGTAGGCACCTCTCAGCTGCTTTTCATTCCTAACCACCTTCCAGGACACATGCTGACCAAAAGATCAGATATCCGAGCGCCACTCCAATCACAACCACAATATCCAGAGTGTATTTGTGCGTGCGTTGTCACATGATGCACAGCCTGTGCTAACAGTGCAGCCAACAAACCAGCTCAGTGTAAGATGCTGTAATTCTATTTAACACCACGATATGAATTTGATGCCCTGGCACCTCCGTGGCTGGATGTTCACAGGCTTAACGTATTCATTCTGATTTACTACTGACCATTTTATGGGTCAATTCCAGGTTGACCTCGATTTTTCGAAACCTAACTAGGTCAACGCTTCAGTATCAGCGTGTTGGATGCATTTAGGACCCTTACCTTTATCGCAGAGGAGGCCGCCCCAGTTCTTCTCACAAGTGCACTGCCAGGGGATGATACATGTCCCATGCAAGCAGCCGGGGTAAGGCAGACACTCGTCACAGCCGTGGCTGGATGTTCACAGGCTTAATGTATTCATTCTGATTTACTACTGACCATTTTATGGGTCAATTCCAGGTTGACCTTGATTTTTCGAAACCTAACTAGGTCAACGCTTCAGTATCAGCGTGTTGGATGCATTTAGGACCCTTACCTTTATCGCAGAGGAGGCCGCCCCAGTTCTTCTCACAAGTGCACTGCCAGGGGATGATACATGTCCCATGCAAGCAGCCGGGGTAAGGCAGACACTCGTCACAGAACTGGCCCTGCCAGCCGTAGTTGCACCTGAAAACCACATAAGGATGTTAACACTTAAAGGACTGAACCACCATGACATCTTAATGACAGACAGGAACAAACATACAGCTGCACGTCACTGCGCTGACACCTAATCTTAGGACAAGGCGACATTCTGGGCGACAAAGGTTAAGAACACTTTCACTCCCCCCCCTCGGGTGGTCCGGTCGCAGCTCGGGGGTGCAGAGGGGTTAACTAATCATTGGTTTATAGCAGCACTCCGCTATTCCAAGGCCAGTGGTGCGCTCTCTCCGTCCCCAACACACCCCTCACCCAGCTGTCTTGTCATTTCTGAGCAGGCTATTTTAAGACAGCTCTCCTGCAGAGGAGGTATGGCCTAACTCCAGCTGCCGAGTGGAGAGACGCTGTCTGTATATCTCGACCTCAGTGCCTCGGAGAGAGAAGTCCAAACACTTATTAGCCTTACAAATAAGTACTGTGGTGGTACCATGGAACAGTGATAGAAATACTACAGTACTCTGAGAAGCAGACAGCACTGAATGATTATCTTATGAATTTACCATGGTACTGACATGGCACTCCCAGTAATATGTTTATATATTAATATTTTCATGGTAACACTTGGTTTTCAAGGGTAACACTTTACAAAAAGTTCAATTTGTTAACATCAGTTAATGCAATAGGTATCATAAACTAACAATCAACACTACATTTACAGCATTTATTAATCTTGGGTAGTGTTAATTTCTACATTTTAAATAAGACTTTTTTTTATATAAAAAAAAAATTTAATATTAAAATTAACATACTAAACTAACCTGAATTAAAATAAATTAACAACGGCAATAGTAGATTTATAAATTAACCTAGATTAATAAATGCTGTAAACAATACATCAATTTGAATATCAAAAATGTTCATATTTGACATTAAATAATATGCATATTATTAAAGTTAACATGTAGAAATTAATACTACCCAAGATTTATAAATGCGATATAAATGTATTGTTTGTTTGTTAATGACTAATGCACTAAATGTTAAAAAATGTAAGTTTAACTACTTCTTTTATCAGTTTAATATTCTAACAATTAGCATTTGCATTTTTTCTCCATTTATCTAAAGGTGATATCAATGCATTAATAAAAAATACAAATAAATAAATCGGGACCACAATGCCTCACATCAGCTCACAACAACTTCAAAAGCATTTAAGGTGAAAAGCAATGGTGTTTACTAACTAAAGGCAAATGTGCTCTTCGAGGAGGTGGGCGAAGTGGATTTGGCTGCTGCATAAACACCTGGCACATTCTCTGCATGGAGGCCTTGATCCAAATCCACTTATAACATCTCCAATGAGGTCTCTGAAATAGCCCCCCAGATCTGTGCCCAAGGGGCAGGCCAGAGGCTGGATTACTTACACCAGAGCACACACAGCTTTGCGCTGCCCAGTAACAACCTTACTAGTATTGTATGAAAGAGCATGTAGGCAGCAGAGTGTGTGGGGAGAGTCTGAATCCTGCCTGTGCACGGGGGCGTTCAGCTCTGCCGAGCACTGGCAAACATAAGCTTGCTCACTAACTCAGAGAAAGAGAAAGTTGCATTGCATTTACTTGATGTGTCAGGACATGTCCATTACAACCATAAAAACACCTTAAACTTAAATCACAAGTGCATTTACGTGTCATTTTGTTTCACATTTGATACACAGCATGGGTTCGCAGTGGCTCTACAAAGTATTAGTACACTTAAAGGGGTTTATGATCCAAACATACTGGACCCAATTGTGTAGACAAAAAAAACAATATTCAAAATATATTTTTTGTGTTCTGTAGAGGAAAGTAATACAGGTTTGGAAAGATGTGAGGGTGAGTAAATTGTGACAATTTTCATTTTTGTGGTAAACTGTGAATTATGCTAGATCTTTACAGTTACTTTTACCAAAGTCCCTTTAAGGCCGATTAGCGATTGGCTCTTTCATTCAGAAGGTGGAGCTTCCCACGATTGATCGGCCATGTTAAGCGTTGCATTTTTTTCCCCATTCAAAACTATACGAGTGACACGTCTTAGGTATTCTATAGTTCTTTGCTTTTACCCAATTGTTTCTTAGGAAGTATAAAAAAAAATCTGCTAAAATGGTTATTTAAAAAAGGGCAAAAACAAAACAAACAAACCAAACCGAAATCAAAACAAAACAAATCTACTGGACTGAGTTACTACACTTTTGGCAAAAATGTCTCCCAAACGGTTCACTAAGCTTACGATTAAATTTCATACCAATGAAATCTGACAACAACTGTGTCATAAATGTTGTTTCTTTTGCTCAAATAGCATTATAAAAAGCTTATTTTTCAGGCAAGATCAGCCAGTGCGCATGCGCAGTCCTAAGCGCACGTCTCAGAGCGCTGACTGTTTCTATAGCAACCGGGACTTCTAACGGCACGCAGTGTCTCATAACGCTGACTGTTTCTATAGAAACCGGGACTTCTAATGGCAGCTGCAGTGACACGCTGACTTTACCGATTAGCGATTGGCTCTTTCATTCAGAAGGTGGAGCTTCCCACGATTGATCGGCCATGTTAAGCGTTGCATTTTTTTCCCCATTCAAAACTATACGAGTGACACGTCTTAGGTATTCTATAGTTCTTTGCTTTTACCCAATTGTTTCTTAGGAAGTATAAAAAAAAATCTGCTAAAATGGTTATTTAAAAAAGGGCAAAAACAAAACAAACAAACCAAACCGAAATCAAAACAAAACAAATCTACTGGACTGAGTTACTACACTTTTGGCAAAAATGTCCTAACACTTTCTGCGCCCCACTAATACATCTACTGGTTAATTTTCTGTGGCAACCTCAGTCCTCTAGTCTCCACCTCCTTCCTTCCAAGGACTATCAAGCTAGTGACGGCAGGGAAGCGAGTCACCACATCCTGCAGGGGAGTGAGGCTTCCCAAATACTCAAACTCTGAAATAACATATTGGCCTCTGTTTCCTAGCCCCGGTTCCAGAAACTCTTTCTTCCAGGCCATCAAGAAACTTGGGTACATGATGTCCTCAAGCATGTTTTTGGCCCCAGCGTCCCCTGAAACATTACTCCTGGCCTTTCTGATGCCTGAGGCAGAAAATATCCATGTCCTTCTTAAACTGCTCAGGTCTCAGAGTAGGTAAAGGAGGGCAGAAGAATGAGGGCAGGTATCTGTGCTCAGTAGTCGTAAGGACTAGAAAACTGAAGTGTGATGGGTCCTTAAGTGTCTGAATGATTTGTTGTCAAAATATTCCAGTATGTCATCGTCTAGAGTGACTTCCTGGCTTAGACATCTCTGGATCTACTCATTCCCTGCCCTTAGACACAGTGAGGTTGTAGGTGGCATGAGCAAGAAGGCTTTCCACATGCCAAAGACTAGGAGCTTTTCCTATGGCAAAGGAAGTAGGCAGAGCTAAGCTACAGGAAGAGAACGAGAGGAGAATGTGATGTGGGACGGTGAGGTGGATTTCACGCTGAGCTCCAACACAGGAAGCATCAGAATTTCCTGTGACAGTAAGAGCAAAATACCAACATTTGACATAATTATCATATGATGATAATGTCCAAAACACAAGGTATGCTGGGACACTGCTTTGGCCAACTTTCCAAAAAGTCCAACTCAAACTAGATTTTAACAGTTTATAAAGAAAATGTAGAGTTTGCCTTTGCAAAACACACCATGTGTGTGACTAGGGTGTTATGATACAGGGCTCGCAAAATCGCTAGCCCGACGTCCCGGGGCTATTGTGTTTTCAGGTCGGGCTACCAAAATGTATCACCACTCTGCCCAACGGCTATCTTAAATGCAGATCTCCCGCGGGTCCTTAAAAACTCCTAAAGTGAGTTGTATCAAACTTAAGGCCATAAAAAGTTTTAAATACGCTAAATGGTATAATAAATGTCTTAATTATAATTTCAAGAGGTCTTACAGTTGGGGACGGAAAGACGAGTCGCGATACGGCTGGATTAAACTTCAAAAGGCAATGATGTCCTTGAATAAATATGAGCGCTGCACGTTTCAAGTCAAAACGCGGTGCGTATGTCTTTATTTGAATGTATCTGAAGGGAACCGACTGTCCTCAGAAACGTGTCATTGGCATTTTAATTTCATTTTACCTATAATTCCTGATAAAGCAGCGTTTATGAGATAATTATGAGTTATTACGATGTTTTTATAGGTTTAAAGGGGGGCTCGACCAAAAAAGTTTGAGAACCACTGGTCTAAAGTTAACAGACAGTGTTTAGTGCAGTCCACATGTTTACAAGTGTTTATTACAGTAACTTTGAATTACCTAAAGTAGTGTGGTAAAGCAACAGATTTGTTTTTATATTTCTGCAATCTACTTTAGTTTGTGTGATTTGTTACTGACTTTCATATTGTTTACACCAGGCTTATTATCGCAATATTGGTAAAAAAAAAGTCGCAATTAGATTATTTTCCAAAATCGTTCAGCCCTAGTTGATAGATCCAAATCCGAAGAACCCTAGATATGACTCAGGACCCTCCTTCGGTCCATTTTTTGCCAGTTGTATCATCTGCCACATGAAAACTGTACATTGGAATTACATATTAAAGGGTGAAGGGCTTCCAAATTCTTTAAAGGGATAGATTTAATTTAGGCTTTGTGTGACATGCAAGATCAAACCACACTGGTATGAATATGAATAATAGTCTTATCGGTTTGAGGCAACATGAGGGTGAGTAATTGATGGCAGAATTGTCATTTTTGTTTAAACTAACCCTTTAAGTATGAGCAACAGTAATAGTGATGCCTTAAAGTATTTCATCCCATCAAATGTTAAACGATCACAATATATAAACACTCGAGAGAAAGTATAGCGTGATCAAAAAAGCATATTAAACAAAAACAGCTTGCACAAACAATAGCTTCAGTGCACTAATTAATTAATGGAAAGGTAAACAAATGAAAAGACCTGATCAGCATGAGCACATATGGCCCTGCTGAAATTAAGGAGCCAGATTAGCCCAGCCAACCGAGCATGAAATGATGCTCAAACACTTACTTGCATTCTCCAGGCACCGTACAGCCTCCGTGAATCAGATTACAGCCCTGCTTGCAGATTGCTGTTAGAGGAGAGGGAGAGCGGGAGGGAGGAGAGGTCAGTCTTGTTTGTTTGTGTTGCCTTACAAGTGCGACAAGATAAATTCATCATCCTCGCTGTGACAGAAGACAACTTTATGGCCCGAACACACATATACGCTTACCCCTATTCACCCCTGTTACGCCCACCTACTCGTACCCTTGCTCATTAGGACGGTGGCTGGTGATTTACTGCCTTTCTTTAGTGGGGTACATACACACATATGCACTCAAAGCATCAGAACAAAGGTGTTTAGGTTGCCTGCAGTGGTCCATTAAAGACATCAAAAACCCCAGCATCACTCAGATTAATTGAGCTAATGGAAAGTGTGACTCCAGGACTGCAGAGGCAAAAGGAGCAGGCAAAGGAGCAAAGATCACAGAGCTGTGAAAACACTGATAGCACAGCAGGTCTCTTTACAGGGTGGTAAAGGGCAAGATTTAACAGGGTTTCTCTCTATACGCTTCAAGACATTAGCCAGCCCTAGTTCATCCTTCATGAAGGGCAACTTGGCTAGATATTGAGGATGCCAGATAAATTATTACCATTAAACTATTAAATGTAATCTCAAAATTAATCTCTAAAACTTGATGCCTAGATTCATTTGTAGCATTAAAAAAGCAGATTTCAGTGCAATATTGTTATTAGTACTATTGTTAAACAAACAATAATTGTTTTTGTTAATTGAAATAAAACTGACATAAAATAAAATATAAATATTAGATGAAAAACAAATGTAAAAAAAATTTAAATATTGCCTTTTCAACTAACAACTGAAAATAAAGGTAAATAAAGGTAAAAAATAAAGGTAAAGGTAAAACTTAACCTAAAATGAAAATGAAAACTAAAAATAAAAAATATTTTTCTGCCATAACATTAAACTGCAGTGGTAAGTACAAAATACAGATGGTCAACATCACTCACCTGTCCGGCAGTCCTCTCCCATCCAGCTGTCTAGACATACAATATTTCCTGATGGATCGCAGCGGTAATGCCCGAAGTAGTCGTCTCTTGGCCGGCACTGTTTGTTGCACTTACTCCCGTAGTAGTTCTCGTCACACCTGACCCGGATGCGGTACTCAATGTGGGCCGTGATGCCGGGGTGCCGGATGGACTGCCAGTGGTTGCCAGGATTCACCATGCTGGCGTGAATGTGTCGCTCGATCAAATTCTCCTCACCGGCTTAAAAAAAACAAAAAGAGAGAGAGAGAGAAACATAAAATCATATACTTTGTTAATAGTCTGAATGAAAAACTATATTTTGCAACAACACAGTTATTAGAGATGGTCAACTTGAAGTCCAACAAGTAACTATTTAATTACTTAAGGGCCTATATTAACTTCTAGGCCCTATATTTTTTAACATTTAATATTTTATCTGTGATTGATTTTTTTAGGTCGCCACTGGCGACTATATATTTTGCATGTTATGACTTTATTGTTTGCTGATTGTTTTGCGATCATATCTTTTGTTATGTTCATGTATTAAACTGAGACGATGCGCATTAAAGTTTGTGGAAAAAAAAAGAAAGTTTCAAACAGTCCAACAATCATCTCTGCAGCACAGCAGCATTGACGGCACACTCACTAAACGCAGCTCAGTTGTGCAGCGCGAGAGAGATCGAAATGACGGAGACGTGCAAGTAAAAATGCACAAAAGCAGTGTCTATTTTGTGCACAACTTGAACAAACTACAACAGGTAAAGCTGTCAGCTGTGTGGATATTGGCAATATCATTAACAATTCTCGTTTATAATCATTACTAATATGGCTTCTTATCAAGATATTAGTCTATATGCTGTGTTCTGTTAATGCGTGAACTTCATATTAGCCTATTTGTAGCGCACTTGCCGCCCAGTAATCGCAAAAAGCTTTGTGCTTTGTTACTTTTTAATAAACAAAGTATCAGCTTTAAAAGTCTGACAAATTCATAACTAAATTAATACAATAAATACGGTTTTGGCACTCTTTAATGCGACAGGCACGATCGCTTTAGCGCCTCAGTTCAAGCGGCAAGTGAACCCATTATATCTTGCTCTACTAGTACGAAATTAACATGAATCAACACCAAAAGGTAGGCTAATTTTATGAAAGCCTACAGTACAACTTACTGAAATGTCTCATGCAATCGCTCATTCAGTGTTTCAAACTGCGGAAAACCAGCTAGAAAAATTAATATAAAGAAGAGCATTTTTCTATATTTAGGCGCTATTGCATATTAATAGTTTTACAGTTACTTAACCTGTTGTCAATATAAGAAATGCAAGTATGCAAGCTAAATATAAAATTCAACACGTCCTATAAAATTGCATGTTACTAATGAAGAAAAACCGACTGGATGTGTGAAAGACATATGACAACATTTCGGATGCATTGAGGAGGAGCCCAAACTACGCTGTAAAAAGCGATTAGTTGACTTTGCTTAAAAAAATTGAGGAAACCTGTTGCCTTAAAGTTATTAAGTAAATAAACTTCATGCATAACGAAAGAAATAAGTTACGTGAACTTGACAATTCCGAGTTACACTGGTAAATAACAGTTTGAAAATGTATTGAGTAGACTTGTGCCGGTATTCGGTAATGCGATATATCACGGTAATGAATATGCACAATATTGTTATCGTGGGCACTTCTAAATACCGTGAATAATTATATATTACAAATTATTCTGAATTTTGAATGCATTTTAAGAATACTTTTCCCATCAACTGGTCAAAATGCACAACACCGCTGTATGCTGCGTGAAAGACACGTGCGCACTCTGACGTAAATAAGCACGGACGAGAAGCACATGGCGGAACATGTGAGAGACGCTCTATCGCAACATGAAAATTTGATACCGGCATATCCCTAGTATTGAGTTCACATTTTATTTTAGGTTGGACTAACTTAAATTTATTCAATTTCAATTACTTAAAAGTGTACACTCAATGGCCAAGTGATGCTTATGGTCCATAATATTGGTACAGATTCTGTGTAATAAACAGTTCTTTTTGACTGTATATTTCAAGTTGGAAAAGATGTTTAATTCCCACTTTAAGTGAACCTTAGTTCCCAGGTCATCTACAAGATGGGTTAAAATGCTGATAAAGTCAAGAAAAGGTGAGACAAACACATGACAGTATGACTGAAATGTTAAAAAAATAAATAAATAAAGCGTGTTTATTCTGTGGCACCTAAAAGAATAATTTGCCGCCTAAGTTTTTTTCTTATAAACCAATGGCTCCTTACTCAATTTTTTTGTCTGAAGCCCTGAATATATAATAATTATTACATACAATAAACATTTCTCAAAGCAAATATACAAATTAAGAAATCAAATTTCTAAAATGCAACTTACTCATTCCATTAATTCACGTCTAAGACAGAGCTAAAGTACATTCACACAAGTAATATAATAACACATTGATAACAAATTAATAAATAAAATTTCTAAAATGCAACTTACTCATTCCATTAATTCACATGTCTAAGACAGAGCTAAAATACATTCACACAAGTAATATAATAACACATTGATAACAAATTAATGTGTAGATCAGCTGTAAGAAAAGAGACAGGACAGACCCTGATTTGAAGCTATAAACTCACTAGTGACTCAGACTATCCTGTCCCTTACAACTTCCTGCCTCACAAATCCATTCAGACAAATCACTGCACAACAAAGACACTCACACATGAATGACACCACTGATAAAACAAAGGGCTTTCAATCTACTCTCAGTTAACCATCCGAAATCAAGTACTTCTTTAATGATTATTACAGCTCATATTCGTTTGAACATATCCCTTAACTTGAGTGTTAAATTTTGTGCCATGATGATGATATGATATCTTAAATCAGGAGTGAGGAGAGGTGTGGTATTGCTTTTCTAAGTGAGCAGACTTAAGATTTTTGAATCAGCAGACAATAAAATGGGCAAAAAAGGGACCAAAGCTATATCTAGAGACCAGAATATTATAGAGACTTATGATTGGGAAAGTAACCATGAAGGAACCGTCTAGAACGCCCTAGCAACAGCAGCAAAATACCTTAAAATCACTCCAAACACATTAGCAGCTGCATAAAAAACACCTTAGCATCATAGCAGTCACTTACACAAGCAAGCACCGTTCCCATTTCTTGTGAGTTCTAGTCAAAGTCTAGTTCTAGTTCTAATAAAAACGTTGATGTCTGGCCAGAGGGAGGGGTGCGAGTTTGACTGCTGTTACCAGGGAGATCTGGGCAAGAGCAGCAGGCAGAAGAAGCCACTGGTCTCTATAGTCGGCCACTTTCAGCTCTTAGCCCTAGCTGTCCTTGAAGGACCTGGATCCCACCCTAGCCCTAATCATCAAGCACACTGTCCAGGTCCGCAAGAACACAGACCCTCGGCACGAATCCCTCCTACTAGTGAGAGTGGTTAGTGTTCACACTAAGAGCTCCAATTTCCCAAGCTTTCCCAGCCTCTCTGCAAAGAAAGCAATCTTTATTGCAGTGGGATCGGAGATGGCGAACAATCACGGTGGAAACGGGGGGCCTGTGATTTCCTCTGTCCCGACGCGCAGAGCGCGTCCGCATCTTTCCCCTTTTGCAAACACACATGCGGAGCGCACATACACATACCTTCCTCTCCGTCCCCTGACAATGTCGACCGAATTAAGCAACAAAAACAGAAATAGCCCTGGCGCTTCCAGATTAAGAACAATGGAGCGAGCTTTTGCCGGCCCGTTCTGTCCAATGTCTAAACACTGGGCAGTCCAGAGCCCTTCCTGCAAAGTAAACACATAGCTACAGGACTTTTCCTGCGGCCTGCATGGCCCTACCATGCACACATACACATACGAACTGTTCTGACAGATGTAACTGAATTATTTAAAGCATCTATGAAAAATGCATGCTGGCTAATTTCCTCAGTTCGAATAGAACAATGTTTCAAAGGCCCAAGATGACATGATGCATTGTGCAGGCTAAACTTTATTCGCCCCAGCGAAAGAGTGAGAGACATATTTTTTGCCCTTGGGTTTCTGACAGACAGACAAGGAGGCGTGGGGATGTGTCCAGTTTAAGAAAACAGGTGCGGCAGCTCTGAGCGTTCAAACTGCATACTAAACCAGTAGTATCAAACGGCATTGGAGAGAGGAAGATGTACTGGCGCTTTTGTTGCCAAGCCTTGCGTGAGTATAGACTGCAGATAGTCAAATCAGACAGACCTTGGCAGCGTTCTCTCTCGATGACAAGACCATTAATGTCTGGCACGCCTCTGTACTATGGGGCTCGTGTGATAAATGAAGCCACTGTCTCAAACAGAGCTCTGCCAAGTCATTGAGTGTGCTCCAGATCATCAAAGAGAGCTCGTCAATTTCAAATATCTCTAATCAATGGTCACTAGAACTTACAGATGGTCTGGTGAAAACTCCTAGAGTCATTGTTTTTAAAACTCTAAAGCTAAATTCAAGGAGTTTTATGTATCCTAAATAAATTATTAAATAATACCTTCAGATGTTTTCAATAATTTGACAAAATTACTTTTAGATTGCAAATGAGGCACAATACTAAATATTGTGCTCTAGTGATATTTATCTTGATTTCTCAGTTTTCTTCACACATCTCATATTTCATCTAAGCATGTAAGCAGGTTTCCAAGTTTTTATGTGACTATCATATTACATCATCATCATCATCATATAACAAAAAAATTAATAATAAAAAAACAGAAGACCAAACAAAAACTAAAATGAAAACAAAAACAAAAAAACAACAAAACAAAAACAAACGAACAAAAACAAAAAAACAAACCAAACAGAACACGCACAAACTATTTTAGTCAGTCTGGTCAATATAGCTCAAGCACTGATTAAACAAAACCAGACACCTGCATTGCATCTCTCTGGCATCACGCTCAACGTACTCCTGATGAGCAAACTCCATGAAGAAGAGGCCTTTAAGACGCTTGACTCAAAGAAGTGAGTCAAACAAGCATCCTCTGGGCCACTGTTTCAGGCTGAAGTGCATGCAAAGATGAAAACGAAAAACAGGACGTCAAGCAGAGAGAGTGTTTGCATTAGGAGTTTTACAGACGCTGGGATATACAGTGATTCTACAGATCACATCCGCAGATCAAAGCCAGGCTCCCCCTCGGTCTCTCCCGTTTTACCAGCATTCACCTTTCTTTTGCATACGTCGAATTCCTCCGCCTGACCCTTTCCTACCGACAATTCCTCAAGCCAGACAAAGGTGGCGGGAGAAAACAGGATACAGCTGTGGAATTATGGTGCCCATGTTGTTTCCCCAAGATCCTTACATATTGGGAGCCCCCAAATACCAGGTTTATGGGATTACAGCCCAAGATCTCATCTTCAGTTGAGATTTTCACTCAAGTATGAAAAAATATGTTGTTTTACCACATTTGAGCTTAAAGCAACTAAAAATGAATTCGGCTCTGCTTGCTTAGAAATCTGATCAACAGATCTGTCTTATAAACTGAGGTAATCCAAACAATCAAACATTATCATGCTGACTATTTGGCAATACCTCATATTTGTAATTTATGTGTATGACTCAATACTCAACATCCTCAGGACATTTCACCCAGTGGCTGCAATTAACAGAGGTCTTCAGATGATCAGGGTTATTGGGCAATCTTGGTGGACTTGCGTGCACTACTGAAGCAGGTGTGGAAGACACAAGATTTTTGAGCCTTAAACTACAAATTTGTGTGGAAGCTCAGGTAACGATTCTTGGCTAAGCAACACGTCATCTCAATATATCTGTCAAAAGTGATGAGCCCTGCTTAGTGTGGTTAAAAATATACAGTATAACTCAATGCATACCTCCAACCCTCTATATCAGTACCTACATGAAAACTGACAACTTTTACACTTAATGCTCATAACAAAATCCTTAAATAACCCCATACGTGCCCAGTAAAACCCTGACGCACCCCAATGAATTCCCCCGCACCAAAATTACAACTCATCAGCGGGGCAGCTTTAACACTTTCATCTCATCGTCAAGGATCAGACTCAATATCCACATACAAAGTCATCCTCTAAAGCACAAAACTATAGATAACAACACTCAACAGCCATTATGAGCATCAAACCCAACCCAGAAAGGCGACAGCAGCCTGCAGCAGTAAATCATACAGCAGTTACAGAGGAATACTCACTGTTCTGAGTGGAGTTATCCCAGTCCCAGGCTTCCAGGATGAGTGTGTAGGATCGCTGAGGGAGAAAGAGAAAGAATATCATTATGAGATGAAATATTAAAATGCTCTTGAAGAAAGCACAACAGATTTTTATATTTTCTTAATGCTAAACAATCCAGGTCAAAAGGTCCCACCCTTAAGTTTCCATGATATTCTGAACCTGATCCCTAGATATGGGTCAGGTACCTCCTCCAAATATAAACCAAATATATAGACCTGTTTTATCATCTTTCAGGAAAAAAAAAAAAAAAACTCAAGAAAGGAAAAGCATCCCTCCTCTAAACAAAATCTGAGGTGGCAGAAATTATGCCAGACAATTTATGCAGTTTTAATGCGCTTTGGATTAAAAGCGTCTGCTAAATGTTAAATGTAATACAGAGCGTAAGAGGTTTATTCAAATCCCTAACCTCAAGTATGAGCAACAGAAATAGTGATGTTTGTCTTAGCAAACAGCATTAATGAAATGACAGCAATGCTAAAGCTCCATTACAGTCCTCTCTCATGACAGCGGGCAGCATTTATAAGAGTTGAGTTATGTTACACATGACATGGCGGGAGGGAGAGATTTTCAGCCACACCTTGGAAGTTCCGACTAAATCTGGAAACATTCTTGATGCTCCTATATCTGAGAGTCCATCCACTAACATGTTGCTTATAGTCCCTACCTGACCAGGTCAAATTATCAACTTTCACGGAGTAAAAACCAGGCCACTGAAGCAGGGCATCTTCATATGAGGAAAAGAATCATTTAATTGATGTGTTTCCTTTAGAGACGAGTTTATTCAGACCATGTCCTCACTCCTGAGTCCTGACCCTAGACAGGTACATGACACCACTTTTAGCACTTTATACAACTTCACTGATCCTCCTAAAAAAACATATTTTCTCTCTCTAATTTTGTGGAGAATAAAAGTCTCATCTGTTAACTGCATGTGCTAACTGCTAGACTTACATCTCCAGCTGTAAACTTTTAGTTGTGTGAGTACAGACTGAAAAGTGTGTTAAATATTAAAACTAATGCATGTCTGTGTGCTAGTGGCAAGTGTTAAGGCCCATTCACACCAAGGCCAATAACCATAAAGATAACTATAACGATAACTATATTAGCCTCCACACATTAGCACAATAACATTTTGTTGATTATAAGCACATGCTGCAGTTATGTCATCTGCCACTTTAAATGCTTGAGCTCTCTAAAGTCGGGTGGATTCTGATTGGCTGTTAATGTTTTTATTGCTCATTAGCTGGAAAAAATCGTTATAGCTGTGGTGTGGACTTCCCCAATTCTCCCCAAGATTTAGAACAATCACTAAAACTTTACAGTTATAGTTTCATTATAGTTATTGTCCTTGGTGTGAACGGCCCTTTAGCAAGTTAGCACTGGCAAGCAACCCTCTACATTGCGAGTAAATCACTCGCATATGCGACTAAATCTTACTCTGGGCGACTAAATGATATCTAATATTCGCCACTGGCTAATAAATTCTCAGATTTTACTCGCCAGTGTGTGAGTTGGAGGCTAAGTATAAGTTTAGCTCAGATATATTTTCACTCGCCGAACACTCTCTGACTGAGCGCTTCAGAGTTTCACTCAGTCAACTGATCTGTGACATTTTTCAGTTCATCTGAATGGATGCGCAGCGCACCTGTATTTAACGTACCGTAAACTCTAGTGTGAAAGCACACGACTCGCCGTCGCTTTGTCTCACACACACGCAGAGAGAGAGAGAGAACGCGCTACATGTAAACGATATTCTTTGTTGCATTTTCCTGTCAAAATAACAGCGTTCCTTTGGAATTCTTCAGCTTTTAAGAACTGCCGCTTCCTCTGGTAGTGGGCGGAACTAATGCGCAAACGGCAATCTCATTGGCTGGTCCTCACCTATTATCGTCCCTGTTTTGATTTCAGCAAATCAGTTCGAGCGAACGCACACAACCTGATTAATATTCATGAATCCAGTAGCTCATTAATCCTTGGTGCGTTTTATATTGTTCTTATTAGTAGAATTCGTATCATTATTATCTAATCAGTATTTTTGTTAGTTTTTCCCCAATTTAAATTTTTTTTTACAGAAACACTGAATGACTAAAAAAAGCACCACCACCAGTCCGAAGTTCAGTTAAAATGACTAATATGCATTCATACATGGTTATCAAGTTTTAATTCAAATTACAAAAGTTCTATCATTAAATAATATTGATTATCATATTATAATGCTTGACTGACTGATCTTAAGAGTGTACTTTCAGATATTTATAAAACTGTGCCATTTTACAAACATTATATATATATATTTATCAGTCTGGCGAGTAAACAAAAAAATGTACTAGCCAATGGCGATTCAATTGCCAAGGTGTTCGTAGAGGGCTGGCAAGGGTTGTCCAACTGTCAGTACCATCCCAGTGTACATTTGCTCGCTAGAAATTCCCAGAATGCACTGTGAAAATGAGTACTGGCTGCTCGCTATGTTCACTTCATCGATTTTTTAGCAGCTACAATGAAGATGTATGCTCACTTTAAACAACAAAACTGTTGAAAAATGGTAGTCCCAATTTTAGGCCAGATGTAGTCTCAATAATTTGTATACACGCTGGCCAAACCAAGCTATAAACGCAATATCTAGGTCAGTTAGTCTGACTTCACAAAAACCAGACTAACGCATTTTATATTATTTTAAAAAGACTGATTACTGCTTTAGTTCGACTGAAATCGAACTTTTAAAGTGCACGTAAACACACCGAGTGAGTCGACCTGTTAGATTTACACATGCATCTCGTTCATCTCCAGAGGTGGAGTGAGAGGGGCGGAGCCAGACGGCGTGGTTGGAGAGGTTGGGGGCTGGTCTGGTGGATGCAGTCAGGGATTAGCAGCAGCACCAGGTCTGTCTGGATGGGTTAGAGTGGGAGTGGGTGGGCACATATCCATGCAGATGTACAACAGATGCGTCTTAAAAAGGTGGATTATTTGACATGAACGTGGATCATCCCACGACATGCTGCAGGGCTTCTGACCTCTCTTCCCATCCCCCAACACGCGGGCGGCCACTGTGAGAGAGCGTATTAGTGGGGTCTCGTGGTAGCGAGCATCTGTGTGGATGTGAAATGCATGTATTTATGAGCGCACGCTTATCTGTATGTGTGTATTTGGTCTAAATCTCCATCAGTAAATAAATATGCTGGATTGATCCGGTTGGCCACGCACATGCGGTCATGCGTACCCAAGGAGAAAGGTCATAATGTCAGGGAGTGTGCATGTGAGAGGGAGAGAGATGAGGTAGCACAGGGACGGTCCTGTTCCCACACACTCGGTCTCTGATTAGCTGGATTATGTGACAGCTGCCCAAAGGGCTAGATGCGGATAAAGACTAGTGGGGGAGGTGACCAGTGAACCAGTGAACAAAGACCTCCATCTAAAACCCATCACTGCAAGACACCATCAACCTGAGTCTCGTGATACTCCGAGAAAATTCCTCCGGCCACACACACACACCCTCCGACCCCTAGAAGTGGCCCAACATGCAACAGCAACACAAACACACCCAAACAAACCCCCTTGGATATAAGTGTTGCCATTTCACCACAAGTAATTCTTCCTTCCTTATCGTGGACTACTTTTGCTGATAGCGAGGATATTTATAGAGGGCTGTGAAAAAATGCATCAGAAGCAAACCTTCGGCCGCATACTTGCATTAGGTACTGCAGTCATGTTTGGACGTTAAGCCTGTAAACACCATGAGTGTGTGTGTGTGTGTGTGTGTGTGTGTGTGTGTGTGTTGTGTGTGTGTGTGTGTGTAAGTGAGTGGGTGGCTAACGGGGTGGTGGTGGAGGGAGCCACAGGTGCAAGCTCCCACAGTCAGTAGATGGGGCAGTTTAAAGAGGGGCAGGGCTGAAATTAGAGGGGGCTGAATTGAGAGAGGCTAAGAATGACCCTGGAGACCTTTCATCAGGCTTCTCATCAGCTTCAAAAGGATCCCACGCCGCAGTTTCAGTTGGCAGCGGCTCACACACGCAATCGGCTGCAATGCTCTGACGCATTCGCACTCAAGGCCCTACTAAGCACAAACCATATGATTATTACATTAATCAATGTTAACTTTAATCAAACTACAATCACATTACAGGACGATCTCGGGATTTTCTTGCTAAGGCAGCAAAGTGTTTTCCAGAAGCAGTCACGAACAAGTGCCATCCAGCTGACAGCGAGTGTGCGGTGAAGCAGTCGGAGAGCTTTCACACGCCTTATCTAAAGTACCAAAGCCTTCAGCGCCGTGTCAATACCCTACAAAGAGAGTGAATGAGAAAAGAAAGAAAATTGAACTGGGTCTGGGATGCGAAGGAGAGACGAAAGAGTCCAAAAGAAATCAACACAGAAAAAAATATAGGTCTCCGTTCCTCTGTGACCTTGGTGAGAAAACGAGTACTTCATTTCCTCATCTGCTTTTGGAAAAGGAACTGCAGAGAGAGGCAAACTTCCCTTGTCTGACCTGGCAGGAAGATATCATCCCCACCCTCTCTGTCAACCAACATATTACTAGGGCCACAGTGGTTCAACAACAAAATATATAACTTGCGGATATGCTTTTTGTTAGTTCAGACATTTTTGTGGCAATTAGCTTTAGCTGTTAGACAGTTTTTCACATTCAAATGGTTATCTTCAGCCACTGCATTATGTCCCACACTCTTTGCACCAGTCGCACAAGTTCTGTGCCAGACTTTGATTGATTGTCCTCAGGAGACCCGCAGATAATTTATTCATTCTATGCTAAACGACTTCAGCATATAATCTCCATTAATCTGGGATGTCAATCCAATCTTTTTAGTTGAATTGTTGACTGACACAAAAGATTTGGGCCAAACTGAGGGTGGAGAGGCAGTGGACAACACTGACCACAACCTTCAATTACCACAAAATGTAAGACACCACCAGGCCAATTAAAGGACACTGAAAGGCCTTTCTGTATCATCAGGCTGGAACAAGATGAAACTGTTTCCCAAAACTAAGGGACAGTTTTGGAGCAGAGTATGTCCACTAGATTTTGTGACGCAATAAGAAAATCCTCATTCTAGTTTGACATTTTATTAGTTCAACATTAAATCAAAGTATTTAATCCTTAAATGCATTTCATTTCCTAATCACAATATGGGCCGATGAATAAGGCAATGAATGTATCATTATGCACCACATATGCAGCTTTGAACTACGACTGTGCAAATACAATCTTATATATTGATTAGAGATGCACAATATATCACCATATCGAGCAATATTAGAAATTAATTAAGTGGTATATCAGCTGATAGTGTATATTTAATTGTGCATGTGAATTGTCCATACTTTTACATTCAAATGATCTTTGCCATCATTTAGCACTCTAAATCTTAAATTAATCTTAAAGTTAAAGTTAATCTCACAATCAATATCCATTTTCATACTGTGCATTATAATATTGTAATGCCTAAATTGTAGCATTTTAAATTATCTTATATTTTAGTGTTTTATTTGTAATTTATTTATAGAAAATAGTACAGAATCGATACTAGGTCTTTTTATCAATAAATTATGTATTCATCTATACAATTTTCAACAATTTAAGAAATGTAGGAAATT